AATGTCATCTGGCAATCTTTTTCATTTCAGACTTTATATATTTTTGTCTCAAGAAGTTTGATTTGTTTCTTTATTATTGTGAAAAAATAATGATTTTAAAGTGAAGGTTTTGGCATTTAGTATATTCACAATATTGTGCAAACACCACCTCTATCTAGTTCCAAACCATTTGCATCACTTCAAAAGAAAACTTCATAAACATTAGGCAATTATTCCTATCCCTTCTTTCTGAAGCATGGGAAATCATCAATATAATTTGTCTGTGTATATTTACCTTCTCTGGAAATTTCATATATACAAAATCATACAATATATGATCTTTTGCATCTAATGTCTTTCATTTATCATGTTTTCAAGGTTTATCCATGTTGTAGCATGCACTTCAATCCTTTTTATCAATCGAATAGTATTCCATTGTGTGTATAGTCATGCATTGCCCAGTGAGGAGATAATAGGTTGTAAGAAAAGTGTCAATGGCTGATTTGACTGTTCTGCAAACATCATAGAGTGTATTTACACTGGAAGTGTGGGCTAAATGATATGCTTGAAAAACTTGGGGCTCTCTCTGTGCCACATCACAAAGGGTTTTAATGAATAGCCTACAACTGTAGCCAAGCAAGACTTAAAATCCTTGAGACATGGCATTATTAGACTCCTTATGGATGAGTCCTTTCAGAAACCCACTTCCATAATAGGTAGATTTTATCCATAATGAAGATGTTCTCCTGCAAGTAACTTTTTTTCACAATTAGCTTATCTAGACTTTCCAAATTTTTTCAGTTTCCTTTATGTAAACATTCCCAGACTCACCACTCACTTTCACACTATGTAATGAATAATGATCCTTGAACTGCTTAAACCACCCAGAAAAAGCAGTAAAGTCAGCATGGCAGTTGGGTCCAAACATTTCATTAAACATTGCAAACACACTGTTTGCTTTGGTCATGCTGTGGGAGGGTTACCTCACCAAACTCTGATATATCAACATAGTAAAATTATTGTGCTCTTCTTGGGATGCCTTCTCTGAATTAAGGTCTAAAAGATGCCCTCAGGTCTAGAAAGTGCTAGTGGTTATAAGACTCACCTCATTTGTATGCCTTCTAGCAGGACTCATTCTCTTGGGATACCTACTGTCCAAAGTCTCAAAACAATTCTTTAATATATCATGTATTTTTCTAGTTGTTTATGACAGGAACTTAATTCTGATTTCAGTTATTCTATTACAGTCAATGTGGAAATTCTCAGTTATCAGTGCTTTATGTTTTTGACTCAGAAGGTATTCAGGATCTTATTTTCTTTTTTAATTTAAGTGTGTAAAATAGAAGACGACTTTTTTCTTGTGCTTAATTACACATATTAATGATGTTTTGACCTTTTCACTATATTGACTTTTCCTCCAGACAGAATATCATGGATATAAACCAAGAAGTATTTTCAGGAAAACAGAAATTTTAAGTTATATATTAATTTTATGAAAGTGAAATTAAAATTTTATTACTCATACTTAAAAAAAATTGATGGTTATATCTGAAACCCCAATTTCCTTTGCAGTTGTCCTTCAATGTCCTAAAAACTTAATCTAGGAATTATGCCAAGAAAATATGCAAGATTGAGCCAGACCATTGTACCAAAATCACTACTAGTCACTCAGCCTGGTGAATCATGCTGTTTTATATATCAGACACAAATAAAACTGGTAAAAATTAATAAAATTTCAAGATAATTAAATTCCACTCTATTCAGCATTACTGCTACAATGATAGTGACAGCCTGAACCACTGGATTAAAGTAATTTTGAGGATATATTGGATTTATTGTAGTTTCATAATATAAGAGTGCTGCATGACTATGTGTCATCCCTGGGTCAATCTCTTCCTTGCTTCCTTTGTCTTAATCTTCTGAATTGATCTTCTAAACATGGGTAAGAAATTTCTTCTTGGGCCTCCCTGGTGGCGCAGGGGGTTGAGAACAGCACTGTGAAGCTGTCCACAGCCTCTGCAGCGCAGGTTCGATCCCCTGCTGGCCAGGGAGATACCCACATGGTGCAACAGCAGACCTCTCCTGTCTCACCCGCTAATCCCCTCATCAGTGGTTTCAGTCTGTATGCCTGTTCTGCTCCCCACTCTGTCTCTGGTGAATCCTCTCACCCTCCGCACCTCTGGCCTGTACCCCAGTTCTTGTATGCATAAATAAATAAATCTTAAAAAAAGAAAGAAATTGCTTCTTTTCAGTAGAAAGAGACTCCAAACCCACTTAACTCTGCAGAGTCATATGTGAGTCATCCCATGAGGAAGATGCAACCAGAGGTATAACTGCTTTATTAAAAAAAAAAAAAATGCAGCATCCTTCTTTCAAAAGTTCTACCAACTAGCATCTTCTAGTAACAGCTACACAAATTCTCTACAACTTAATTTTTTTGTTTCTTTGAGAGAAGGATAAGAAATTAAAGGGAATTTTTTTACAACTTTACAAGAAAACTTTCTTTACCATGAATGATTGGAGTGATTTCTTTTTTTTCCTAATGATGAGAATTGTACAGCTAACTCTACTACCATATTTATCTTAACTTAGCTGATTATAAAAATTCAATTAGATATGCTAGACACTGCAACAATTTAGACTATTAGGATCTATTTCTGTTTTCCTTTTGACTATACTCAACTATTTATATTTCCTAATTTCTACTATTTAATTTTACTACTGTTAAATTTATCAAAATTTAACATGTTTAGGTATCACATTTTAATTTAATAATACATTATTAACTCAATATGAGAAATGTGTCTTGAATCCATTTTTTTTACCACTAATAACATTACTCTAATTAAAGTTGCATTGCTCCTTACCAAGATAATTTCAACAGAACAAAAGTGTTCTGTTTTCACTCTGACCAATAGCCTCTTCTTCCTCTTTCAAGCTCCTCAAATATATATACTCACCTATATATTTTCTTATCTATAACTAGGAGTCATTTTCAAATGCAAAACAGATTACATCACTCTACTCAAAACATCCTACAGTGGCATCTCTTTGTACTGAGAATAAAATTCAAACTCCTGTGGCCTCCCTGGTGGTACAAGGGGTTAAGTGACAGCACTATGAGTCAATCCACAGCTACTGCAGCACAAGTTTAATCCCTGGCCAGGGAGGTGACCCACATGGCACAACAGACTCCTCCTGTCTCACCTCGCTGCTCCCCTCAGCCATGTATTTCACTCAATCTGCCTGTTCTGCTCCCTAATTTGTCTCTGGTGAATCCTCTCACCCACCGCACCTCTGGCCTACACCCCAGCTCTTGCATGCATAAATAGGTAAATCTTTTTTTAAAAAAAATTCAATCTCCTGACATGATCTGGCATTTGCCTTCCTATTCTATGCCCTGGGCACCTTTTTCTCCTTGTTCACTGTTCTTCAGCCATACTGCCATTTCTGCTTCTTAGCACAGCCAAGTTTTTACATCCTTGTGCTTTGTACCTACTACTGCTCTTCTGTTTTTGCATAACTGTGCTCTTCTCTTCAGTTAAGGCTTTATTCGAATTGTTCTTCCTAATGGAGCTCTATGGAGAGTTTTCTTTAATCCACTGACAATTATATGCTTCACATTTTTTAAAGCACATTTGTTTACATCTGTAACTAATATACTTTCTCCATTTCTTATTTAATTACTTCTGAATATCTTCATTCCCTCACCAAAAAAAATGAGTAAAAACCTTGTCTAACATAGTCACATAATATTCCAGCACTCAAAACAGTGGTTGGCACATAGTGTCCAAGATAAGTATATGCTGAGTAAATTAGCTAATTAACACATTTAGTTTTTCATGAAGTAGATTATTGTGACTTATTGTGTAGAAGTTTATTCTTGAAAATCATAAGCTATTTCACTGTATCAAATTCAAAACATTTTATAAGAAGGAAATTAAAGACACCTAGAACATCAAAAAAAAGTACTAACTGAAAAGAAAGTTGAAAACACTGCATATATACTGAAGAACTTAATAAAAGTTAAGTTATTCAAACAACTTAAATAAGGGCCTCCCCGGTGGCGCAGCAGTTGAGCACTGGGTTGCAAAGCTGCCCGCAGCCTCTGCAGTGCTGGTTCAATCCCCGGCTGCTCCCAGGCCACCAGAGGAGGGTCCCACATGGCGTGCAGACCTCTCCTGCCGCCCGCTGCTCCCCTCAGCAGTGTACTTCGGTCCTTCTGCCTGCTCTGCTCCCCGCTCTGGCTCTGGTGAATTTTCTCACCTTCCGCGCTTCTGACTGTACCCAGTGCTTATATAAATAAATAATCTTAAAAAAAAAATAAAGAAAAAGAAAAAATAGGAAAAAGAAAAGAAAACCAGAATTAAAAAAAAAAAACTTAAATAAAACTGTAAAAATATTATCTCTTCACCTAGAAGTTCTAGATCAGACCAATGGATCAGCAGATACTAACTGCAGGGTTGTATTAGCTTAGCCCTTTGCTGGATCTTTGTCATTAAATTCATTTTTGATATAACATTAGCCTTTAAAAGGCTTTTTAAAAGAAACAACAGAAAAATTCTTCCACATTTATTGCAAAGTTGTTATCATAATTTCCAATACATTTTGATTAATCCTATGAAATTTCCATGAAAGAAATCTGGTTGTGAATGAGACAAATAGGAGGAAAGATGGTCTCATAAAAGAAAAAAAAGTGCCATTTTCTCTGATATTTCTATACAGTACATCATTATTTCATTTTCCCTTTTGGTCTAGATTAAGGAAAATAAAAATTAATGTTCAGTCCCAACATGATACTAAACTTTATAAAATATTTGCTATTTCTCATTTCATACTTGTTGTTTTACATTTTATTAATCATCACATGTAAATAAATTAATCTCATTATATTTAATTTCAGATATATGTTCAGAAATATATATAAAATCTCATCACATTTCACATTATTTTTAAAGAATCAATATATAAATACATATGGAGATATGATTATGATACATAAATAATCTTGAAAGAGCACATTAATTTGAAGATATTTTTCTTTCTAAAAGTTTCATCAAGGCACTTTTCACTTCCTTGTTCCTGAGGCTATATATTAGGGGATTCAACATGGGAATCACGGTGGTGTAAAATACAGAGGTGACTTTCTCTTGGATGGCTGAACTGCTGGAAGTAGGTTTGAGATACATGGACATGAGAGATCCATAAAATATAAGAACAGCTGTCAAGTGAGAGCTGCAGGTGCTGAAAGCTTTGGACCTGCCCTCTTTAGATGGGATGCGGAGGATGCTGGAGAGGATGAAAGCATATGAAATGATGATTGTCACACTGGTTGTTACCATGTTAAATCCACCAATGACAAAAATCAAAAGTTCATCTATATACGTGCTGGAACAGGAGAGTTTAATAAGAGGAACGATGTCACAGAAATAATGTTGAATGACATTGGAGCTACAGAAGTCCAATCGTAATATACAACCCCCATGAATCATGGCATCAGTGAAGCCTACTGAGAAGACAGCAGCCACCAGCAGAGAACAGACCCGCGGGGACATGATGACATTGTAGAGCAGGGGGCTGCAGATGGCGACATAGCGATCATAGGCCATTGCTGCCAACATGTAGCACTCAGAAATGACAAAAATACAGAAAAAGAACAACTGAGTCATACATTCAGAATAGGAGATTGCTTTATCTCTGCTTAAAAACCCTACCAGCATTTTGGGGACAATGACAGTAGAATAGCAGAAATCTAAAAAAGACAAACTACTGAGGAAATAGTACATGGGAATGTGAAGTTGAGAACTCAACCCAATTATGGAGATCATGCCGAGATTCCCCACTACTGTAACTATATAAATCCCTAAGAAGAGGAAGAAAAGGGGCAGCTGAAGCTCTGGTTGGTCAGTTAATCCTGAAAGAAAAAACTCAGTCACTGTGGACTGATTTCTTATCCCCATTCTCCTGTGAAAATCTGTGGAGATCAAAGAGGAAAGAGTCCAATTAGACAGGCATAAATCCAGCTCTGCCCCCGTTTCCAAATCCAGGTTCTCCGTCATCTTGGAGCCTGTTCTGTGCCTCTATTTAGGACAGGTTCTTACCCAACAGAAAGTCACCACTCAGACAAAAAGGTTGGTTAGCATCTGTCTATCTGTAGATTTTAGGAACCGTGCATGAACTTTCACATTCTTCCAGTGTCTCAAATTCTTTTAGCAAAGTAGAAAACCTTTAACTCCAACATTAGAAGACAACTGCTAAAGACCATGGGGGAGGCTTTCTAAAGCGAATTAAAGAGGTGCATAAAGAAAGGGCTGTGCATGTATACAACAATGAGCATTGATGTAATATATATATAAAAAAATTAATTTTAAAGAAGGTCTGTGAGCTGAGAAAATGCTTTTGGTAACGACACATTTGCCTATGTTCACGTGATCCTGCTTCCAGGATTTCAACAGAGAAGGTGTCTCTTGATCAGGTCTATAATGATTTCTGGGTAATGTTTCCATGTGTGTACAGCAGAGCAATGGCTCTAGATTTTTCAATGATGTTACATGAAATAAGTAGCTCAGGGATATATAATTTCAGATATTCAGAGTTATAGAATCTTAAATGGGTTTCTTAACTGAAGGATAGCTCAGAATCTACTAAACGGCCTATAAAACAACAGCATATCAAATATATCTGATGACAGACTCTACACACACACACTTCAATAAAAAAAAAATTGTTGCAGCGCCAATTGTTTAGGGAAGTGATTTTGTTTTGCTCTAATTTATTCTAATCATGAGCTGGCTTCCTGGACAGAAATCTATTCTTCTAATACTTCAGTAAATCTGATGGTAAAACAGCAGCCCTCCACACATCATTTCTTATCTCTGAATCTCTGATCATTTTCTGGGCTTGGCTGACCTCTCTTGTGAGGCCAGTGAGCAGGACTTAATGCACTTCTTCCAGTGCTGCCAATTTGGCAAAGCAAACAACCAGGTATTTGTGTTTCGATCAGAGGCTCTTTTGGGGTACTACCTCTTCTCACCTAGAAAGTTCTCCTGGGAGGGGACAGAGGTGACACATATGGGGGCTGCCTGTTCTGGGTTCAATCAAAGAATTATCTCTGAAAAGTTTGACTTTTTTTTCTTTTTTGCCATTGTTGGACTACTCACAACCTCCTCTCTAGTTTCTCTCTCTCTCTCTTGTTCTGTTTATATAGAGATTATGAAGAGTTCCACTCAGAAAACTGCTGTAGCAAATTCTCAACCTGACCAGCCCAGGATCTACCTGTCTCCACGCTTTTCGAGAAGCTGTTCATGACTTCCCATTTCCAGTCTGTTACTGCTCTATTAGGACACACTTCCTTTGAACCCTTAGGAGTTCTCTATAATGTCAGTGCCTCTTCCTGATTCCTGAAGTCAGTTTAAAACAAGGAAGCTTCATAACACTGAACAATTGTTCTCTGGGCAAGTTCAAATTCTACAGAACACTTGACTCTTGTATGTGCTCATTTTTCCTATCCTGAGGGATGAGGACAGAGGAATTGTTTGCAAAAGAGAGGTTTCCATTCTGCCTTGCATGTTAGTGACATACTCTGGAGACGTTTTTTTCCCTCGTCCTTTGCCAATGAGTAAGCACAGATGTCGTCCAGTCACAGAGACCACACATAGAAATTGCAAAGCAATCTTCTAGAAGACCATGGACTTAGTTTTAATCTCTTCCTGTGTGCAAAGCAATCTTCTAGAAGACCATGGACTTAGTTTTAATCTCTTCCTGTGTATGTTTTTAATGTGTCCTGAGTGTCACAAACACAACAACTATCCTCATCAGGTGCAATTCTCCCACATTTCCCCTAATTCCTTCTGAACTGCTATCAAAGTAACATGTCATCCTTTCTCCTTCCTGCCCATGTTCCCTTTTTTTGTTCTATGCCCTGCATCTGCCTGCTCTCTAGTCAAAACAGCTGGTTTCTTTTTCCTATTTATCCTACTTCTTAAACATGCTTGTGTCATAATCCTCGCAACTTAATATGCAGTCCACAGACCAGTGACACTGCATCAGTGGAAAATGTGCTAAATGCACGATCTCATGCCTGAACCCCACCAAGTGAATCAGGATCTACAATTTAGCATGATCCCCACATGAAATGTGTACATATTTAAGACTGAGATGAACTGTTTAGGTTATTCTCGCCTAGAGCTGAAATCATCTTTTCTTGATTCTTACTTCCTCCTCCCAACTTCATCTGCCTCTTCTTTGTGCCAGAAAGCTCTCTGCACTCATGTAAAGCTCGTCTCTGAAAACACCTTCTCAAGAAGAGTCTCCTTGGATGAAGGATAGAAATATACTTTGTCACTGTAAGTAGATAGTGATTCCATGGCAGTGTGACAGGAGTGCCTTATTGCCAATTACAAAACATTGGATTTTACTTCTGTTTTATGTGAAGAGATGTTACATAAATTACATTTTAATCCACAGAAAAATGAATAATGCTACCCAGTATCTACTTTATTTCACAATCTGCTAAACATAAAGCTCCCTAGGCAAGGGTTAAAATTTTGTTGTGTTTTATGTCTGACCATCTCCAAAATGATTATTCTACTGACTCACCTGATAGGTCATTTAATTTTAAGTATTCAAAAGCACTCAATCAATAAAAAAGGTGTTTTTTGAAAAAAGATTTCAATGCTCTATTATATAACATTATTAAAATCATGACAATTTAAAATATTTCAAAAAGATATCATCTAGATCAGCCTTGCCCAGGAGAAATATATACAAATACATGGGTAACTTAAAATGTTCTAGAAGCCCATTTTTTCAAAAGTAAAAGCAAGCATAGGAAATCAATTTTAATATGCATATTATTAACACAGTATATTAAAAATATTATCATTTCAACATGTAATTACATCAAAAATCTATGAAGTATTTTGTTATTTATTTTACTAATCTTTGAAGTTCATGTTTTTTATATGTGCAGCACTTCTCAAATCAAATAAGCCACATTTCAAATGCTCAGTAGCCACATTTGGTGACTGGCTATGTATTGGACAGCACAAATCTAGAATATATTTTCTTGTAAATCTCTCTTAATTGCTAAATCTTAATTGTCCCAATTAGTGAAGCAAGCCATTAGCACAAAGTGGAAGAAATAAAATTGAATTGTGAGCCATAACATTTAGTTTCAATGCCAATTCTAAGTCTTATAGTGTAACATTTGACTCATCATGGTCTCTCTGAACTTCATGTTTTAATCTTCAAAAAATAAAAAACTTCCAAGGGAATAATGCACAAATAAGTAAGAAAATAAGAGTTAACACAATTTGTGCACTGCAAGGTTTGTATAAATATAATTGTTTTATAATTCATATTTTAGAGGCTGGTGATTTCACAGATTAATTCACAGATTAACATCTAGGGCCCTTAGACAAGGTAAGTGGACAACACTCAGTCCAGATGGACGTCAATGACTTCTTCCCCATTGGCCAAGACTTAGTGGCCTGTAAACATGCAGAGACTCCTGAGCTCAATTAGAAAATCAGGTGTTGGGCCTCCCTGGTAGCACAGAGGGTTGAGGGCAGCGTGGTTGTCCACAGCCTCTGCAACGTGGGTTCGATCCTGGCCAGCCAGGGAGAGTCCCACATGGCGGGGCAGACCTCTCCTGTTGCGCCCGCTGCTCCCCTCAGCAGTGTATTTCTGTCAGTCTGTCTGTTCTGCTCCCCACTCTGTCTCTGGTGAATCCTCCTACTCTCCTGCACCTCTGGCCTATATCCCAGTTCTTGTATACATAAATAAATAATTTAAAAAAAAGAAAATCAGGTGTTGATTTTAGAGCTTTTTAACACCTGCGTAATAAGAGCTTCATACCTCTGAAACTCACCTTCCCCTTCTGTAGACTTAGCTGAGTGTTTCTTCTCCTATCCTCATCACTTGAAGAATAAAGATTTATTAATTATACCTTTTCATCCTTTAGTGTCTAAACAACCACAACAGACAAGACTCAGGTTTAAGTGAAACTGTGACTTCTATTCTCAAATCAACTATTTTATGTTTGGAAATATAAAGACAGTATTTCCCAAGGGCTTCTTACCTCCTGAGGTTCAGCATCCTGTATAGTTGTAAAAACTGTCATTAGCTGGCCTATCAAAACTCTTTTTACATAAGGAAACCTAACCACGTAATATGGTCACATTTCCAAAATAATGCAATTGTTATAACTCAACAAGCAGAACAGATTTAGAGCACAATGTTAAAGAAACTGAACAGAATGATTCATTCAGATGTGGAAGATAAAGCAATAAAACAATGAACAAACAAAACAAAAACAAGATCTTAGACTATAATAACAAAATGATGGTTACCAGAAGAGAAGGGGTAAGGAGGGTGGATAAATCAAGTAGAAGGGGTCAATTTTATGGTGAAGAATAAAAACTAGACTTTTGATGGCAATTATAATGTAGTATGTACAGATGTCAAATTATAATGCTGTTCACCTATATGTCATTAACCAATGTTACTTCAATACAATTTTAAATTATGAAAAACAGAAAAGGAACAACTCAGGAATACTCCTTTAGGATGATAAGAAGTAAATAAATTATATTTCCACGTATGCAGATAAGTTTACATTGTCCTTTTATAGCGAATGCCAATAAAAAATATCAAAAGCAAAATGCAAAAGGATCAAAATGTTTTCCATCAAATTTGCAATTTAGACAGTAACTAAGTGTTAATGGAACCAAAGTCTTGTGAAATTTTTATTTTTCAAGTATGGACAGTTGAAAAATCCAGAACACAATAGCCATCAATTATCACTATTTTTTTTTATAAGGGACAATTTTAAATCCAAAAGATATAAACTCATAATAAAGGTCAACTCCTTGCAATGAATACATTTAGCTTTGCAAACTCTTTTTTAAAAAGAAATCTAAAGCAGATGAGCAAAAGAATATCACTTTATTGCAAAGGT